TCAGAACACTAGCAGAAGGCACTAATATTCACAGGCACTTATCTGATTTCAACATGATGGTGACACAAGTAATGAATGCCAGGAATATTCTAGAAGAAGAGGAGAAAGCTTTGTTTTCACTTGCATCCTTGCTAAAGTCTTTACAAGTCCCTAGTGCAGAGTATGCTGGTGGGTAAAACTACTCCGGTGATGAAAGATGTCACAACCATGTTGTTCAAGAATGATAAGTTTCTCAAGGAGGATGATGGTGCCAATCAAAATAATGCTTTGGTGATGGAGCATTCTCAGGGAAGATCCTATGGACATGGAGGTGGAGGAAATCGAGAAAGGTTGAAATCTAGACCTAAGAGGGATTATGGTGAAGTGCAATGTTTCTATTATGGTGAGTTGAATCATAAATAATATAAACGCCTGAAGTTTAAGGAGGATCTTTCTAATATGAAAACATTGATGAAAAGTCAAGAAACCAAGGGCAAGGGAAAGGCTAATATTGTTGAAGAAAATGTTGTTGAAGTATTAGCTTATAAGGAGTGTGTGACCATGAGGTGGAGCAAAACAATCAAAGGTGGATTTTGGACTATGTTGCAACCATGCATGTGTGCAATAATCCTTTTGAATTTGTGAGTTTGGTTTGGGGGTAGCTTGGCAAAATAACGGTAGCTACCGACGAGAAAGTGAATATTGAAGGCATAGGAGATGTTTATCTCAATGTTCATAATAGGAGAGCCAACATTCTCAAGAATGTGAGATATGTGCCCAAGTGTTCAAGTAATATTATTGCTTTGAGTGAATTGACAACACGAGGGTACAAGTATGTTGGAATGCAAGAATGGTGCAAGGTCAACAAAGGTGGAAGATTTGTTTTGCAAGGAATTAAGAACAAGCACAATATCTATGTGCTTGAACAACATCCCGAGAGAGGGCTTAACAAGACCATGAGGAAGATGGTGTTGAAGCCTAAAGGGATCTTGGTAGATGGTAAGGAAATTAATAAGACCAAGATGAAGGTGAGTTTCAACAATGAAGTGGTGTTTGATGATGGTTCGAGGAGGTGTGATTTGCCCTCGAATCATATTTTGGTTCAAAATTAATTTCTACAGTATGCCTAGTATAGGGTTGTCTTGTCCTATATTAGGAGAAAACCTTCAAAAATAGGACATCATGATTAAGTGTTCTTGAGCAGGGTGTGATAAATTATGGTAATGTTGAAAGTGTATGGAGTCATGGTTGATTTCTGCTCCCATGGGGTTGGAAGGGGAAATTGTTGGTAGAAAAGTCCAACCCCATGTGAACACATAGACTTTCCATATGGAAGTTTGCTTCACCAACCTATAAGCCAATTGTGGGCTAGAATTGCTTTGTTGAAGTCATTCAAGATTGCATGTTGACCCATTTAATGAGCAAAGAAAATCTTGGACGGGTGGTAATGAGACAGAAAAATGGGGCATGGGTGGTTGGATTTTTCACTATAAATACCCATGCCTGCAAAGGAAACAAGAAAGCAAGAGAAGAGCTAAGTGAGTGGGTGCCCTTATGAGAAAAAAGAAAGAGAGAAATTGTGAGAAAATCCTTGTGTAGATTAAGGGAGAGTATTAGGGAGAATTTGAGAGCTTCTATACATTGAAGCTAGGGTGTTGAGAGCTTCTTGAGTGAGAGGGCTTCTAAATTATTGTACTCTTTTTTCTTAATAGTGGATTTATTTATCTTTTTTTAGTGGACATAGACTTGTTAAAAAGTGTACAAGTCGAACCACGTTAAATTATTGTTTCAATTTCTTTATCGCTTCTGTTTGTGTGGAATTGTGGTGCTCAAAATTCCCAACAATATGGAGGATGGAAAAAAAGATAAAAAAAAAAAAAGGAAGAAATTCTAGTGAGGTAAAGTCACTATTTAAAAAAGCCAACCATGTGAGATGGAGGAGGCATTTAGATTAATAGTTAAAATGCAA